GCCAGGCACAAGGCAGCATTGATATATTTAGATCCAGAAGATGTATTTGAATGCCTTTTGTGAGGTCGGGTAAGCAGTTTTCATGGTTGTAGTCCTTATATTTGAGAAGATTTGAGGAATCATCAAATTCAACAGAAGTCTGGCACATAGCACTGCAGCAAGGAAACCATCAACAGCAGATTAACATATTATACATACTGTGTATACATTTAGTATTTAGCAGATGCCAAAACTGCTAAACGGGGACCAAAACTGCTGAGGTTTGCAGAAGTTTGAAGTTGATGAATTTGTGTCTTTTTTTTCAACCTAGTTAAAGATTACCTTTCATGACCTGTAGCACAGTGAATCGGCACCAAGATGGGAATGCAGGCGGTGGCGCTTGCATATACAATATCTTCCATAATTCTTCAGAGCTTCAAAGGAACCTGATCCTGCTAAGAATAGATTGACATCCTGTAGGATGTTGGTGTTTGTCCCATGCCCTGTCCCACCTCCATTGCCCTACTATTGTTCATCACTATGAGGAGGGCCTCAGTGACCAGTGGTGAGGACCAGGAAGCAGGTTCCTAGAAGAGTGAAATGGCTTTCAGGGCACAGATAAGCCAAAGGCATTGGCAATCTTGGTTTATGGTTGGTTGCAACGTCGATTTTGCAGGTGCCTCTTTTCCAGTTTTTTTTTGGTGTTGTGTTTCCCAGTGTTTTGTAGCCTCTTTTTCTACCACCTCCTCCTTATTTTAATAAAAAGCGTATGTATTTTAGGTCCAGGGCTTACAAATAATGATTACAGGTCTTAGTGTGTATCCTAACACTTATATTGTGTATTTTGGAAGAACATTCACCCTTCAGCTACACCCACTCAAAATGTTAGTTACCCTGACTTACAGTAAAATGACTGTTCCCTGTAGTAGCGTGGGGGGTCAGCAGAAGGAAAACCCCTGCGGGGGACACATAACAACGAGAGAACATATGTTTCCAGTTAACATCCTGCTATGCCACCCACTCCTCCAAGCTCTCTAAATACCTTGCCCGCAAATAACAAACCACACACAGATTGGAGTTAATGGCCTTATCAGCCTTTTATTACAAAACACTATAAAATACAGGTACAAAACACATTTTACCCCAACATTCCTCTCTGCAGATTAGGGTTGTGGGCCTATGAAGGCACCATCACCAACCCAACCCTGTCACTGCAGAACCACTAAACTATAATTGACACACAGCACACAACCTTGGGGACAACTCACAAATAACCTCCGAGACCAACCTGAACCATGAATCCTAGGTCACTCCAGTTGACCGCAATGAAATTGTGGACTCCATACCTGAGATGGGTCCCCCCGAACAATCCAGCCAGCACTAATCCTACCACCTCCCCCAGCCAGTAGCAGCCACATATTAAATCCCCTGTAAATGTAGGGCGAGTGGGTGAGAAATTCACTTGCCATGTGCTAACTCCCAACTGAAGATGCAACTGTTTGCTTCCTCAGTCCATATCTTAAACCCCTTCTAGCAGGGGCGTAACAAGAAATCACAGGGCCCCATAGCAAAATTTTGTATGGGGCCCTGTGATTTCTAGTTATACCCCCTGCAGAGCCCACTTGAGATCCCACACAGCCCACCTGAGGGTGATCCTGCAGAGCCCACCATAGACTATCTATGGTGGGCTCTGCAGAGTCACCCTTAGGTGGGCTGGTCGCACTCCTTACCTGTCCTCCTCCTCTTCCTCCACGCTCGCTGATGGGCCCCGACTCCTCCTCCGTCACCGGGCCCACCTCCTTCTCCGTCACCGGGCCCCGCCTCCTCCCCTGCTGTCGACCACGGGCCCTGCCTCCTGCTCCCCTGCCGGGTCCGGCCTCCTCCACCGCCGCTGCTGGCTCTCATTGACTCAGCAACGGCTCTGGAGACGAACGCGCTGCTGCACAGATTACGGTCAGTGATCTGAACAGCAGCGCATTCTTCTTCAGAGCCGCCTGTGAAAGCCACCAGCAGTGGATGCCATAGCGACCCAGGCAGTCCGCTCGGTATCTGGCCCAGCCCCCCCTGTGCCACGGGCCCCATAGCGGCCTCCTGAGTCGCTATGGCGATTGTTACGCCACTGCCTTCTAGACTACCTACCCTCGACCAATCATTGTCATGTAGACCCTATGCCCAGAGCCGAAGCTAGGGGAGACATGTGCCCCAGGTGGCGCTGGGTGTTTGGATGGAGAACTTCTCCATCCAAACACCCCAGTTGTCCCCATCCCATCTTGGTGGGGAGATCTCTGAGTCATTGGCCCCGGTGATCTTCCCCACTGTGTATGCCTATTCTTTCCTGTCATTTTACTCAGGACCTGTCTGGAGATTGACACTCCCGGAAGTGTCGGCTTCTGAAGGAAACCACACCTTGTGATCCCTGTGCATCAAGGCAGCGTATTCACTTTCTCCTTAATGGGGGCACTTTTTATTGCTGAGATAGTCGCTGTGAAGTTTATGTCCAGCCAAAACTTTGTTCTGGAGCTGAAAAGAGTTAAAACCCCCATCACATTTTTATGGCTGCAATAGAGATAAGTTTAAATAGGGATTTTTGGACTCCGAGCACACTATTAATAAAACATGCCTAGCAGTGTTTGCAATTCACCGTATGGATGGTCCAGCCGGTTGTATTCTCTTTTATGTATATTTGAGATATTTGCATGTCGAATTGCTTTTAGACTAATAGCAATAAAGAAGTCATGTTTTATTTACAGTGTACTCGGAGTCCAAATGCCCCCATTTAAAATTATCTCCATCGCGGCATTATTTTGTAGGGGTTCCAAGTACACAAAAAGCTTATAAATTATAATGGAGTAATAAATAGAGGGTTTGATTATATTTTTTTTTAATCTCTATTGCACATTTTTATTGCTATTTGTGGCTCCGTCAGAGAGTTTTCCCCTCTCTGTCTGTGCTGCTGACAGCGTTTTACTAGACAGCAAGGGACGGAAAATCTCTAACTGCAACAGACACAGATAAAAATGCTCTAACGGAGCCCTGGAGGACAGAACCCAACGGATGTTCTAACATTTTCTTATTCTATATAAAGATTCAAAAACAGTTTTGGCTTGGCATACACTTTAAATATTGTATTTAGTTCATTTGGTTTTAGATACAGATACTCCTCGCTTAACGACTTACCTGTTTTGCGACCACTCGCACTTACGACCGTCCACCTTACCTGCGTTATTATTATGGATAAAGGAGAATTGAGAATTATAATGTACCTTCAATTTCGGCCAAGTCTAAGAGATTCTAATTTTGGTAAAATATTACTGTCAATGGGTACAATGAAATTAAAATGATATTTTGGCATTTTCTAAAGGTGTAATGGACATTAAATGGCCTGTGAGGGTTACAGAAGCTACCTTCCAGCCATCCTTGAACAATATGTGCACGATCAATAGAACATGCCAAGTTATAGGGGTAGCGCTCACCCCTGAAGGAACCGCTGGATAGATCGATCCCTCCTAGCCTGTCTAGGATTCACAGTTCCATTGTTGCCCAACAAGAACTTACCGAACCTCCAATGGCGACAAATAAAACTGATTTTCACACCGATGTCCTGATGCTGATGAACTATTTTTGAAGAACTTTGGGAGAGAGGGTTAGGGCACAGGACACCCAGGATGTTGTAGACTCCAAAAATGATAGAACAAAGTATTCATGGCCTTAACAGATAGAGAACCTTTAAGCCAATCCATGTCTTCAGCTCCCGGCTGTGAAATAGTTGATGTTATAGCTACTAGTCCATTTCAGAAGATATCACCATGCTTCAGTAGAGGGTCCACTTCTCAGGCTCCCAATACCTGTTGATGTTGCTCCATGTCATCTCCATCTTCAAGCTACACTTAAGTGTAGTCCCAGGTCTCAGTCTGAGCACATGGTCACTTCCCTAGGCAGCAGGCCTAGAAAGATCAGACAATCCACAGCACCCTTCCCCAGGCAGCAGCCCCATGGGGAGGCTCAACTCAACTGACTTCCCAAGGTCCCTCCTAAACAGTTATACCCTCTCCCAGCATGCACCACTGGTAACAAGTGGTAAGGAGAAGCTACAGGGGTAGGAGCCTGCTGAGAGTTCTTTTTGGAAAGTGGTAGAGAAAAGAAGAATGTCCCACCCGTCTTACCTTGTTTACAGCTGTTGATGGATTGAGATTCCCCTTGCTGGTGTCAGTTGTTGATGGGGCTTGGTCCCTTGGTGAGTCATGAATAATCAATTTTGGAGCTGTCCTCGAGCCAGTGTTGGTGTGTCTGGGCACATGGGTGTTTTCTAGTAATGCTTCTGGCAATGGACACCAATGACCCCTTCTCGTACCCAACGGCCTTCAGAAAATGTTTATTCTGGTTATTCTGAATGCCATGTGCCATTTTGTATCTGGTTGAATAAAGAAGAGCTGCTGCGTTCGTTTCAAAATCCAAGTCACGCAGTCCATGTGTTTTATTGGTGGGGTTTGACTGAGAGGACAGAATTAACGAATCCATCAGTCATTCAGCACATGCTATCCGAATTGGCTGTGCAGGTTTGTTGCCACCTATTGTATTTGTTCATTCTAAATTAAGGACACCGCAGCACATATTGTATTGTGCCTTAATGTGCATTGTAGTAACGTGTGACAAGGCAGCCTGGCTCCAACAAAAGTTCCGGAACATTGTCTACTTGGTCAAGTGGGTCATGTTGAATCATTTACTACAGGATATACCGTATCTGACAGCTATACAGGCATTCTATTTAAGAAAGGAAAGCAACAATATTGTTACAGCAAATAAAAAAATATAATAAAAATCCCATTCTGTGTGTCTCGTTATACACTAGCGGCATGAAAAAAAACCCCAAAACATTATTTCCAGTATAACATTCCTCAAACCTCGTTCCTACAGTCATAAGATTTCCATCATAGCGGTAGGCACTTGAAAAAGTCTTAATCTCTTACTCTTTCTTGAAAGTGTTATCAATACTCTGTTTCATTTTTTATATTCCTCTGCAGATGAGTTTAAATCTTTCATGAGACGCTTACCCAGCAGCCACTTCCTAAGCATTGGAGCCATTCACCAGCACTGGGGAAATGATTGGGAACTGCAAAGTCGTTACAAACTCCTACAGAATTCTCTAGACGTCCAACGCCAAAAGATGCAGCACACGGCGCGAAAGCTGTTCAGTCTAAGCCTGCGCTGCAAACACAATCCCAATCACCAGTTACCCAGAGAAAGGTAAGTTTTGTGTTGAATAAGCCAGATTAACAATGTTGTTTAGGTTTACCAGCTGTACTATCAGGGCGGTCCTTAGAATTAGGGAATGAGGCAGCCTAAGGCTGTTGCCCTAGGTGGCATCTCTTTGGGTCACTGGGGCGGCAGGCACAATGGTTGCAATTTTCCATGCTGTCCCCTTTCCGGCCAGAGCATCCCAGTTGCTAAGAGCTGGGATGTGTAAGGTCCATATACATAAAGGATGAAATTAATGGTAAAAGCCGCGCTGTGTGAATGAGACCGCAAAAGTGTCAGATATAGTAGATACTGACCTTGGAGTAATGTGATCCAAGTAATGATCACATTACTCCAAGGTCAGTATCTACTATATCTGACACTTTTGCGGTCTCATTCACACAGCGCGGCTTTTACCATTAATTTCATACGTTATATCTGACCACACAGATTTCAGCTGCTGCTTAACTTGATTAGAGTAGTGGCGCGAGGTTTCACATTATTCATATACATAAAGGATGGACACCGGCACCTTTCCAGCCAGAGCATCCCAGTTGCTAAGAGCTGGGATGTGTAAGGTCCATATACATAAAGGATGGACACCGGCACCTTTCCGGCCAGAGCTTCCCAGTTGCTAAGAGCTGGGATGTGTAAGGTCCATATACATAAAGGATGGACACCGGCACCTTTCCGGCCAGAGCTTCCCAGTTGCTAAGAGCTGTGATGTGTAAGGCCCATATACATAAAGCAGGTGTGCCTGCTGCCCCCTTTCCAGCCAGAGCTTCCCAAGGTGCAAGAGCTCTTAGCAGCCTGGAGCACACTGGCTGGCATTCTGCTCAGCTCAGTAATGTCACTGGTTGCCAGAAGCTAAGCGGGATGCCCTGGTTGGTGTCTTGCCCAGCTTTGTGACATAACTGGTTGCCAGGAGCTAAGCGGGTAGCCCTAGCTGGTGGCCTGCCCAGCTGCTGGAAACCAGTGACATCAGTGAGTTGGGCGGGACGCTGTGCACCACAATCTGCCCCGCTCCCTCCCGAAATGTGCACCAAACCCCCATTCCTGGGAGTGTACTAACAGTTACCACCCCCTCCGGAACATGCATCATGAGCATGTTATTTAAAACACATGCACCTGCTGTCAATGTTTGGTGAATGTCAGATTTTGGCCATAACTTCTTTGGCGCAAATAGCAAACACTTTAGTATCTTTTTTTTTTATTAAAAAAAATTATACATTGCAGCACCTGGAAAAAAAATATGTTTTTCTCCAAAAAGCTGCAATTTACTATGAATAAGATTCATCTTAGAGTAATGAACATTCTGTCATCCTCAGTGCCGAGCCAGAAGGTGTACAAATTAAAAATCTGACACGAATACACAAGATGAACTGTGTGCTCCGGTACAAAAGGTTCCAAAAATCTAACTGGCAATGATTTATACATCTATGGGAGCTTTTTAATATTTTGTATCCTATAAAATGGTGAAATGGTAACCGGGGGCACGTTTCAGCGCGTGCACTTAATAGGCTTCTCGGTGTCGCACATGCCAGCACTCTCTGTGCCAGCTTCAGAGTCACCTTCTGTCACTCGGCCCGGCCCAAACCCTTCTATTAGCAATTTCTGACCACTGCAATCAACATCGTCATCATTATCGGCAACGGCGCGACCACATTATCATTATTCAGTTGTCCCACCCAGTCCACGGATGTCACTGGTTGCCAGGAGCTGAGCGGGACGCTCTGGCTGGCGTGCCGTGCACCAAGAGATGCCCATGCCTCCAGAACATCCACAACAAGCCGCCTCCCCCCACCAGAACTTGCAATGAGCGCAACTTACCATTCCCCAACCCCTACCTGCCCCCAGAAGGTGCATCATGAGCACCCCCCCTGCAGGTGTTCTATCAAAGTTCGTGGCAAGGTTTGAATGTGTGACCGGTGACGCCTTCACACATTTTAACATAATCCCGTCCAGTTTTACAGCGCTGGAATGTGTGACCGCCCATTAGGTCAAGCATTCCAACACTTTGTCAGCTGTTCCAGAGCAGATCGGCTCACTGTGCATGTGCAGGAGAATCGATCTACATTACCTCCTCTGCCTTGAACAGCTGATCGGTCCTCAAATGTAACTTCTATCCGACTGTGTGAGTGCGGTGGAATGTGAGATCGCACTTACAGAGTCGGATAGAAGTGACATTTGAGGACCGATCAGCTGTTCCAGGCAGAGGAGGTAATGAAGGTCGATTCTCCTGCACACGCGATCAACAAAGGCGATCTGCCCTGGGACAGATGACAAAGCGTTGAAATGCTTGGCCCAATGGGCGGTCACGCATTCCACCGCTGTAAAATAGGGTGGGATTACTTCACCGTTCACACCTTCCAACCTAGTCACAAACATTTGATAGAACACCGGCCTCAGGCGGCAGGACGTCTAGAGATGCCCCTGTCCACACTTCCTCCCGTCCCTGCTACTGAATATTCATACCTCGGTATGGACAGGGATGGGAGGAAGAGTCTACAGGAGCCAGACCATTGCACCCACGATCCACTCATCATAGTTGCAATGCTCAACTGGCTCCAATGCAAAAAAAATTATAACTGTATATTTTTTTCTTCTATGAATATGTGGGCATGTATTATTTTTAGACTTTACCTTTGAAGGAGAACTATGGGGTCAGGGCTTTTCCCCATAGTTCTCCTAAGGGTCACGGGAGGACATAAACTAGCGTCCTCCCGTTACCCAAAGCTCAGCATACCGCGAGCGGTATACTGAGACCGCCGCAGCCGGGAAGGTTCCCCGACATTACGGTCGAGATCCACCCAGCTGCGTGAGTGACAGCTGGCTCTGCCTATTTAGAGGCAGAGCCAGCTGTGCCCGCCACCTCCCCCGTTCGTTCTTCCAGTCAGTGCTGGAGGATCGGAGTGGGGAGGGGGGGGAATCCCTGCAGGGAGCTGTGAGTGACAGTCACCTCTCTCTGCAGGGACAGGATCGAGAAGTGAACGAGCGACCGTATGTGTTCGCTCACTTCCCGATCTATTGAGCCGACCTGTGACAGTCTCATTGTCACAGGCCGGCTCGAACTATGAGGATGATGATTTTCACTCGCCTCATAGTTCTCCTTTAAGTCATCACAATGCTATATAGTATCTTGCCGTCATTTGATTGTGAACGGTCAATCGCATCAATGTGGTCCACAAAACCACTACACACAGTTTAAAGAATAGTTTCTTAATACCCTAAACTCTGTGTTTGCACTGTATGCCTAAAAATGTTTTCCAAGGACGTGAAGCATTCCAGCCCAATATTTCTACATGTTAAATCTGTTGAAATTCTATGTTTAAACATTCCAAGAGGTGCCGTAATATACGTCTAACCCTTTTTATTTCAGAACGATCCAACAGTGGCTGGCTCGAGTACAATCACTTCTTTACTGCAACGAGAACGGATTCTGGGGCACGTTCCTGGAGAGCCAACGGAATTGCGTGTGCCACGGCGGCAGCACGCTGTGCCAACGGCCCATTCCTTGCATCATCGGAGGCAACCAAAGTTGCGCCATGTGCAGCATGGCAAACATCTCACTCTGCGGCTCCTGCAACAAGGGATACAAATTGTACCGCGGCCGGTGCGAGGCGCAGAACGTGGATTCGGAACGCAGCGAGCAGTTCATGAGCCTGGAGACCGAGCTGGACTTCCAGGATCAGGAGCTGCGCTACCTCTTGCAGAAGATGGACTCCCGTCTCCACGTGCACACCACGTTCATTAGCAACGAGATCCGGTTAGACACCTACTTTGATCCCCGTTGGAGGAAAAGAATGTCGCTGACCCTGAAAAGTAACAAAAACAGGGTTGAGTTCATCCACATGGTCATCGGGATGTCCATGCGCATTTGCCAGGCCCGGAACACGACTCTGGATCCCAGCTTCTTTGTGTACGTCAACCCGTTTAGCGGGAGCCACTCGGAAGGATGGAGCATGCCGTTTGGTGAACACGGTTACCCGAGATGGGAGAAGACACGGCTCCAAAACAGTCAGTGTTACAATTGGACTCTCCTCCTGGGCAATCGCTGGAAAACCTTTTTTGAAACTGTACATATTTACCTGCGCAGCCGTACGCGCCTACCTACCCTCCTGCGTAACGACACAGGCCAAGGTCCGGTGGACCTGTCCGATCCTACGAAACGACAGTTCTACGTGAAGATATCCGAGGTCCAGCTGTATGGGTACAGCTTACGATTCAACCCGGACCTCTTGCGCAGTGCAGTCCAGCAAGTCAACCAGTCCTACTCCCAAGGGGGCCAGTTTTATTCCTCGTCCTCGGTCATGCTTCTCATGTTGGACATCCGGGAGCGAATCAATCGCCTGGCTCCACCGACCGCGCCGGGAAAGGCGCAGCTAGACCTCTTCTCGTGTATGCTGAAGCATCGATTGAAGTTGACCAATAGCGAAATCATACGCGTCAACCATGCCCTGGACTTGTACAACACTGAGATACTGAAGCAACCCGATCACATGACACTCAAACTTTGTTAACCTTCCCATTCCTTTCTCTCGAGTAAGATCGTTGGAAGTTCAGAGGTTCGAACCTCTGAGGGATTTAGGTGGACTTTAATTCTTTTAGGATCTACCTTATGACCTGACTATGATTATGCTGCAAAGTATAAAATGGAGTATATTTACATACTTCCTTTTATGTATTTTTTTTATTATTTTGGGGGGGTGGGAAGTGGGAATCAGTAACCATAGACAAAAAAAAACAACACAGTCAGGGTACTTGGAGAATAAATCCCTTTAAAGGCAACTTGGTCAATCCTATTATATCGCTTCCCATTTACATGAAAGATCTGCAGCTCCCTTGTTAACTGAGCTCTCCATGAATGTTATGGTCTGAAACAAAGTAAAAACATTGTGTTATATGTACAGTTAAATGTGAATTATGCCATAAAAATACATTGCACATGCAGTATTCATCTTCTAAAATTACCTGAACTGCTGCTTCTCTCTTTTACTTGATTTTTTTTTCTCCGCTGGGCCCATTTTAAGCCCAGCCGGACTCTCCTGATCACAGATTTTGCCCTTCATTTAGTTCCCAAAGCCAGGGCTGGATTAACATAGGGGTTATTGGAGGCCCACCAGTGAAAATAGGCCCCGGCTGGCCTGGATCACCTTGATTCGGCCGATGGCAATCCAGGCTGGCCGGGCTGAACTTCAGACAGAGGTGCCAGCGGCTCTCTAATCGGCCATATTAGGCGTAGGGTTGCCCCATGTCCGGGATTCACATAGGGGTGTGTCTGACCGATGCAGAGAGGCCGCTGCCGGCTCTGTGGAAGCAGCAGCCTCTCAGTAGCATGACAGCGTAGAACAGGCTGTTTTACTGTAGCAATGGTAGAGCAGAGATCACTTACTACTTTACTGCACCTGGAATCTATTCACAGCGTTTTATACTAGATCAATGGGGCTTTACAATTTTTCTCAAGAAGATACATGCTTTGAATAAACATGTACTGCACCCGAAAATTGTACTCCACCTAATAGTACATATTTATATATACGCTATATTACCAAAAGTATTGGGGCGCCTTTACACGCACATGAACTTGGCATGATCAGACAGTTGGCGACTTCTGCGCTTCAGCATGCGCCGACCCCGCTCTGTCATTTTACGTGGCCTACCACTTCGTGGCTGAGTTGCTGTTGTTCCCAGTTGCTTCCACTATGTTATAATCCCAGTAACAGGTGACCGCGGAATATTTAGTAGCAAGGAAATGTCACGGAACACCTGAATCCAATGATTTGGAGGGGCGTCCCAATACTTTTGGTACATATAGTGCATAAGAATATAAATACATTATTCCTAGGTGCACTTTCCGGCAACACGTCATCTCCTTCTCTCATTTTTAGTATACTATAGTATTACTATATAGCATAGTATTACGATTGTTCCTCCATCTTTATACAGCACGCGTAGACGCCGGGCAATGCGATTATTTTCAAAAAATATGATGGGATCCATTTATTTCAAAGATAGAAGTTGCCCACCAGTCCATTAGGACCATTTATATTCCAACTCTTTAGTTGTAGGCCCCATGTTACGTATCTCTCATTAGTCATGGAGGAAGAAGATAGATATCCCGATCCTTATTCCCGGCCACTATACCACCAATCCTGCTGTAGATTTTGATTTACTGCTTGTTATGTTCATGTCGAGGATTCGATGTCCGTAGTCGGAGCACAGATGCACTTTAAAATGGCGTATCTTCTTTTCTTGAACTTGGCCGTGCCAAAGCAAATTTACCCTCTGAGCCACAGCAGGACATTTTTATATTCTATTATTTTTTAAAATATATGGCAGAATTTATATTTTTGAAGCCTCCTTAGTTTAGGCCTATGTTCTTTTAATAATTTAATATATATATATAATTTTTTTTTACCCCAAACTGTCCGTATTGCAGCAGGAGGCCCATCCCATAAAGAGCTAGCATTGTCTCAGTCTTGCATTAAATATGTTCAATTATGAACACAGTTTTAGAATTAACTTAAATATCATGTAAAATATCATTCTTGAAGCTTCTGCCCTCTCCCTTGAGTGTAACCCGCCCCTTCACTGTGCTGTTCTGCACAAGGCAAGTGTTTTGCTATGTGGATCACACCGAGTGCGGAAAACGGAAAACTTCACGGAAAGGGACATTTTCCTTTAATGCCAGAGGCCATTTTTTTGTATATAATAATCCGGACACTCAGTGTATATAATAATCTGGCCACTCAGTGTATATATCTTGAAGATCCCCTTTAATAGAGCCGATAAAGCCCAATTTCATTGGTACGTTAATGACCGGTGCCAAGAAACAATGAACCTCTTAGCTTTGGGACCAGCATGGTGGGAATGTTTTTTTTTTTTTTTAGCT